GCGACCAGTTCCTGCGCGCCTCTCCGACGAGCTCGGAGTTTGGGCAACTTGTCCATGCGCTGAGGCACCGCCTGGCGCCAGGTCGTGGGATGAGGCGTGGCATCCTGGATGATCACTCCCGGTGCCTTCGTCCGGGTCAACATGAAAGGCTGCGCAGTGTGCAAAAATATCTGTTGGGCGGCACTTTGGCGAAGATTGTCATGCATATCTGATGTGTTTCCTCTAGACTCTATTGAAACTAAAACCATTCTTGGGCAAAGCGCCGGGACTTGTAGCCCAGCTATGTAGAATGTTGACACTCACTGTGGTTGGAAACATGTCACAACCATGGAATGAAAGCTGGCAAAGCCCCAGTACCTGTGGCGTTCAAAGACCCAGTACCTGGAAAATACATTCAAAGCGCTCACTGGCTGTTTGGCGGCACAATCATAAGGGACACACCAACCGCCAACCAAACCAAAATTGATTACAGCCGCCAGCCTGTCCCTTGACAAGGCCCTGCCCTTATAGAAGGGAGGTTGAAACCACTGTCTCAACATATTCACTACTGTTCTTCTGCATACACTTCCTAAAATAATTTCCATCAGTGATCCTCTGCAAACAGGTGGTTGTCTGCTTCCATGTTTTATTTCAGGGAGTGCAGCTGTGTAACTCTTCCGAGAGGTGGCCCGGAACCCTCCCACTCCTCCCTCTCCTCCCCACTCTCAACGCCTCGGGGGATGAAGACACCACTGGTTCCCTGGCAGAATCTCATTCACTTGCGGCAAAGACCCGAATCCAGCAGTTCCCCCCGAATGGGGGTCCGAAGCAGTCGCCGTCTTTCTGGGACTTTGGAGTTTGACCATCTCCCTATAGTTCCCGCAACGGTCCGTGTCGCGATACCAGGCTCGGTACCTAATTCGGTATATAGTATGGGGTTACCAGGCTCCGCACGTTTGGCCCTTCTTTTCGCGAGCCTGCGGAGCCTGCAAAGCCTGCGCCACATGATCTGCAAGATAAATGGTATAGTAGGATTTAGTAAGGGACCGTGAACACGGGGGCACACAGGATCTATAACATGTACGCCTTTTCGTGTCACCCAATGTAGCGGATTGATTTGAGGGGCAGGATCCGGCGGAAGCTTCCATTCAAGGGTCAACTGTGGTCGGAGGTATATGTTTCGAAGCCAACGACTTTGCGGGGTGACAAGGGGATGGGTCAAAACCTGCAGCTCCAAACGTAGGCTATAGGTTGACCTAGGTGGAAGGTCACCTAAGGTCTCCTCCTGCCATGACCCACATAAAGATAATTCACACCGCTTCGCGGTCGAAGCCGCCCGCACAGAATAAAGGGAAAGCAAACACACACACACACATATATACGTTAACATAGACATCCATCCATGCATACAAACTATATACATAGTATACATGCAAACATACATCCAAACACACATGGGAAAAGTATGTCATTAGCGCTGCGCTACCGAGCCGGGAACTAGCAACTTGTGCTCTCGGAACACGGACGAACACACCCACGATGTCAAGTCCGCGCGGTCGATCACGCACTCTCCACCGGGCGGCAGATCCGGCATCGCCAACGTTTTGGTCCCAAACCATATCCTTTTTAATCAATCTTCAACAAAGCCCTGCAAAACACAGCAAGCATGAGATGGGCCCCCCGAGCTGAAGCTTAGGACTAATCTAGCAGATTTCTTGCGGTTTGCGCGAGCCTACACAATGCCTCAGCACCTTCGGTGCGGGCGGATTCCTGACAATTCTCTACGTCCCTACCCCAACCCCCGAGGCAACTTTGCCTGTTTAGCCAAATCAGTATTCGAGGCCAACAACTTCCAAAAGCATGGAACTTGGAACCATTGAACAAATTGAGCCAAACCTTAATGTTGCCTCAAGGAAACCCTTTTCCAAAACATTTAGAGTGCTTGACTGTTTTGAAGCCTTCTCTTCCATTACCTGACAACTGATAGCTGTCATGAAGACTGGGCTGCGCCCCAAGGTGTGATTGACACGCACAGGACCTGACGTGGTCACTTATATACCCATTATACCCGCATTACACAAGAGGAGCACCATCAGGTGGTGCAATGAAGCCTTCCCACTTGGGGGCCATTTCTCGTCACAAGTTCTTGCCACTTGAGTTTCTCGTTCACCTGAGAAGCCAGGTAGTTCGCAACTGGTTTCTTTGGACTTCGAGCCTTCCCCCTTGGAGGACAGCTGCTTTAGCCCACCGAGCCAAACCGAGTCCACCAGTTTCTTTGAAACCGCCCGTGCTGGGTGGGACCGGCAGTGCTCGCCTGGATGTTGGGACCGGCAGCCTGGGGCAGAAGAGTTCACCATCAGAAACGGTGCAGCTGAAACGGTGCCGGGCCGCCAGGGCGGGGATTATCCAAATATGAACAGGATTAGGGGATGAAAGGGATAGTTATTTTGACAGAAACTCACGACTGCCGATGTTTCTCCAAGGTCACTCCTGAACCCGCTGAAGAAACCGATGAATCCAAGCTGTTTTTTGTCCCAAGTGAACCCGCTCATGCGACCGCAGGAACTTGCTCATCAACTGCGCATGTTTTTTTGGCTGGACATGGCTGGACATCTAGAACCGCAGCTTCTGGTGGGATGGATTCCATGGTAAAAACCACCAGCTTGAGACCAGCTGATTCCATGAAGCTGATGCCATTGTAAAGAAGCTGTGGCTTTAGAACATATTCGAGACATGTCCAGAACCACCTACTTGTGTGAAAACCGCCAGCTTGAGATCAATAATGCTTGGCTCCATTGCTCAAACTTTGCTTGATCGAACACCGACGTTGCCCCGGAAAGCTGCTGACAGACCATGCTCGATCAAATCAGATTGAAAGGGCAGGAAACCCATCCAACCCAGAACCACATGCAGCGATTTGCATGGGGCTGGCCCTGCGTTGGTGGCGTAAGGACAACGGAAAGCGTTGCTGCATTCACGCCATGCCCTTTTTCTCCAGTAAACAAAGTGCTCTTGATCGGCTTGGCAATAGGTGTTTAAGTTATTCCATGGGGTACTGTGATGTATTGTGATGCCTAACAGGGCCTAACACATCCTATCCTAACACACTCAAATGCACAGCCATTCTGAGATTTGTGGTCATAGACCATTTCCTTCACAAGCACGTGGTGTAGCGCTTGATGTGGTTTCCGTCACTAGAGTGACGCTTGCCAGTGCATAGACCAATTGAAAGAAGCACACTGCGAGTATCTTCACACGTCAAATCGGTAGGGCAGTAGACCGTAGACCTGAATAGTAACCTGAACAAATAACAAAAACACAACTAAATGCCTGTACAATACCACACATTAAACATCCTGAACACCGGCTTGCAGAGATTTTTCTTCATCTCACCCTGGGTCCTGTCTGGAATTGTTCCAAAGCGTTGGATCTATCTGGAAGGCGTTCGATTGCCAGCCCAGTGGCAGTCTCGCCGAGGACGCCAAGAGGTTCTTCGATTTCAAGACCTGCATTGACCGTCGCCCGTCGAACCGTCACATAAAGCCATGTGTATATCCACCCTTTGGGATCCTAAAAGGGTGGTTCTGGTACAGTACTTCAGTGGACACGAAATGGATCTCCATTCTGACTCACGAGGACGGTGACGCTAGCCGCTTGGGTCCTCCAAATTCACCATCTCTCCCAGTAAACATCGCCCTGCAATTTTGGAGTTTGGACCAACCATTGGATGATCAAAGCAGCAACCCATGGATGATCTCAAAAACAACTCCGACATGATAATTTTACACCCCAAAAGTGTCGAAGTGTGGTCTGACCACTTAGAGTTCGTCCTCAAAGTTCATCCTCACAGTTCGCCTGGAACGGGCCTCCGCCTCCACTATGGCAACTATGGCCCGGCTTTCATCCGCATGACACCAGCGCAGGACTCGCCCGTTTGTGCACACGCCTTGAATGCCTTCTGACGACTCGGGTACCTCGGGATGGTACGGGAGGTACCAAAGGGTACCTGGTTGCATGGAATAAAAGAACAGTCCCAAGCAGAAACAAGTCCACAGTCCCAACCACTTAGTTTTGTAAGAGGTCACCATCGACAGGTGCAAAGCCGGTTTTCCAGATTGGTTGTGGGGACTGCCCAAATCCCATTTTAAATGGCGACCAAAGATCCCCACAAATATCCAACCAGCCAGTAAATGGCGTGAGCACGAAAGGGACTGGCGATGTATTTGCGCATTCTTAGCTTCCTTGACATGGATTGTTGATGATGCCTACAGGTTTTCTTTTTGTGAGATTGCGGTGTGCTTCCATGTTGCTGGCCACAGGATCTTCAACAAACAACCTACTATGACCTTTACAAAAAGATCCAAGATTGCATGCAAGCATTGTGGAAGAACGAGTCTTTTGTTCTGCTTTCCAGACACCTTTCATTCTACACACCCGCGGTCGTGTGGCAGGGTGCTTCCACAGGGTTGTGTCATGGGTGCCGTTCCATGGCACCCAAATGAAGCTCGATTGACGGATCGGTGAGGCTGTTCAGGATCGGTGCTGGACGTACGCTTGATTCGTGGCGAATTTGTCTAGATGATGTCTGATCTTTTGTGAGATGTCTCACTGGGGGTTCTTTCTTAGTTGTTCTTATCGGTAAGGCAACACGCTCTACTCATGTTTCACGAGTGGCCTCGCCCGGCGCCAAAGACTTCCTCTCGTTCAAAGCGAACATGTCCTGATTCTTCTTCTACAATAACCACAAGCGTTGGCCTCCAACCTAATAGCGAGGCCCTCCACCACCCTAGTAGCGATGGCCTCCAACCTAATAGCGAACATGGCCTGAGTGTTTTTTCCAGAAGCCAGCCGTTCCTGAAGCCAAACAGACCAAGCAAGAAATAGCGCCATAATTAGCCCAAACCCCACACTCGAAGCGAAATAAGCCTTCACCCATGGGATGCTGTTCGTTTGGTTGATTATTTCACAAAACACCAACTTGCAATTTTCCCCACCAAAGCGCCCAAAAACCGTGCCTGATCCTACCGCGACCCAACCGCGACCTTGGCGGTTTTCCCTACCGAACGCACTGCACCGAAGATCTGCGGCACCTGCCAGAGATGATGCTGGAAGACTTGGAGGGCTCGCGTGTCCAGGACGGACTGGTCAACTGGATCTCCTTGATTTCGAAACGGACCAAAACGATCCCAAAACGAGAACGGAGCCATGACGCCAAAAGAGCGGGTACGATCCCAAAACGATCCCAAACAGATCAAACGGTACGATCCCAAACAGTACCCTTTTTTCATCCCAAACAGATGGGTCCAATGGTCCAAATGCCTGAGATGGGTCCGGTGCCGATGGAGACAACTCCATCCACGTCTCACATCGATGATCTCGTTCAGGTCACAAACATGAAAACAGAAAATACCAATTGTATATCATGAAAAAAAGATACAAACTTTATATTACATTTAAAAACTCTAAACATGTTGTGTTCTTTAGAATATATATTTGTTCATATTTGTTCAATTGTTTTTTCATCAACCCATCTCCCTACCCATCTCCATCTTCTCCTTCTCCTCGCCCCTGTGGACCGTGGCCAGCGGCAAGAGGGGCGCCGATTGATAATGCACTTGTCGCCTGTCGAGGGTTTGCTCCGCCGTCGCCATCTGAGCATGGTCGAACGGATGGGCAGTGAGGTTTGCGGTCGAACCCTTTTTCTGTGGCTCCTACACTCCGACAAACACATCACATGTGTACAACATGGTCTAGATAGATGACCAAACCACCATGCCACCATGGTCTTCCACCATGCCATCTCCCTGTCTGTGGAGGGTCACGACCTGATCGCTGAACGGGTCTGCGACCGCCGTGCTCCGCTCGTTCGGACCTTCGAGGTCGAGAACGACCGACCCGCTCGGGGCCTCTTGAGGATGTCGATGGCATCATCCAACGGTAAGTCCTTGGAGGTTCGACCCCAGCAGCGACGAATTCGGCAGTTTGGCCGAGCCGAGAGGATGCCCACGGTTTTGTCCAGGTGCGTACGTTAGCACGTGTACGTTCGCACGTGTTAGGTGGGTTCTCATTGTTCAGGCCAACTCCACACCTATTATATAGCTCCCAGACTTGCTCCCAGTAGATTACACAACAAAGACACATGGAATTCTCCAGGTGGAAGCGGAGTCCAGTAACTGAGCGTGTCAAGAAAGGCAAGTTCCTTATAATGCTTTGATGTCCAAATCTCATCCAAACCCTTGAACGGTCTTGAATGCATTGTCCTCCAGAAACCAATACTGTTCAGTGTGGCCCAAAGATTCAAGACGAGCAAGGGAGACATGGAAGCATCAGGAAACCGCCGGCTCGGCACAGCAAGGGGAAAAGCCAAGCTATATAACTCGACCCATGAGTTCAGACTTGACCACAGCTATGAGCAGTTTGCGCCGAGAAGCGGCTCAGAACTTGCAGACACTTCCCTGGTCTGCCACCCCTTCTTCTAGCCCAGAAACTGAACCCCTCAAGAAGCCCTCAGTGGATAGAATTACCCAGCTCTGGCGGTCCGCGGCCCTTGTGGAGTTTCTGCCCAAAGCCTATGAAGATCCATCCCACGAGTCCGGTCCCTCTGAAACATCCCAAAGCATCCACTGCCAGGGACGGCAAGGTCAGGGATGGCGCCATTGGAAATCGCTCCCGGTGCGCGTTGGAGGGGGACCTGGACTGGTCCCGATTTGGCCTGGACTCAACTGCTGATGTCGTCCATGAGAAACAGCAAAGAAGACAGATCTCATTCTTGGGTTGAATTGTCTGATCTGAATTGTCTCCCAGCATTCAACATTCCAAAAAGCTCCTGCTGCCAAAGAGAATCTTCTACCGCCCCTCTTTTTAGTGATCTTCTAGCGGGCATGATATCTTCTAACAGTGAAGCTCGGTGCTTTCATTTGGACGATGCAAGAGAGGGCAAAATTCCAATTCGACCGCGTCTCGAAGCGATATCGCTTTGGGAATGTGTTCTTTCTTTGTCTACCAAGAGAGGTTAAGTGACCTTATAGGACCTTACTGGGGTACCTATGGGATAGTCTATAAGGTCCTTCAACCTCTGTTGGTATGCTTAAATTATGTGCAATCTCCATTCTCGTGGGTGACAAAGTCTTTTGATACAGTTGAACAGTGAGACATACTGTGACCAAAAGCAAACAACAATGGCAACCTCTCCGAAGATGACCACCAACTTCGTTGGTCATAGCCTTGCTTGCTGGGGCATCTGAGTGGGAAACAACGAGCAAAGCGGAACTAGCGTTGCATCTACACCTCGGAGAGAAAAACCAGGGGCCTGTCGGAGAAAGCGGAACTCCTGAGGAAAGATGGACATAGCTGAAAATAATGCCCTGATCGCGCGATAATCAACGTAGCATGTCCTGCAAAGAGGCAGAAAAAGCGCCTCGCAAGAGAATGGAGGATTGTTTTCTTTACAAAACTGTTGTTGAAAGAATCGGACGAACCATGGTGAGACACCAGCTGGAGGTGTATGGTTAAAAAAAAAGAACGAGAGACACCAACCAAATACTTAAGGAGGCCTGGGTCACTTCCTTTATTGTCATGTCTATTTCCCTAGTTTGGAGGAGATCGATCTGGAAGGCTCTCCCTATGTCAAGACAATATCCAACTGGCTCGGCTCCTGCTTTTTACTTGGCTTTCCGCTTCGTGAGAGTCTCGGCCTGTGAGCGTCGATGGAAACAGGTCGCGGATTTGGAGACTTCATGGGTTGGGTGAAGGGAAAGGGTCGTCAAGGGACATGCTGTGCTTCCAAGGATTTCATGTGTCGTTTCTCAGGCACTATGACTCTGACAGATCGTTTTCTCCATGAATGAGGGGAAGAAATGGGAAGGAAATGGGAAGAAACAAAACCACGCAAACAAGAGCACAAACTGGGCGGGAACTCAAGACCCAACTGTCTGTGGCTTCCGTGTGGTTTTCCTCAGACCAACATCTGTAGGTCTTTCAGACCGAAGCCAACTTCGGGCCAACGGGGCCAGCAGATGTGCGGCTGTGTGGATGGCCAACCCAGAAAAATAATGAAAAAACGCCGGTGGGAAGCAAATTTGCTACGTTTGGGCCTGTCCTATAAGAAGCTGCAGGGACTAACATATAGGGAACCCTGCGCTGGTCGGAAGACGATGATTCCAGCCTGCTCGGTGCCAAAATCGACATGGTATATTATCATGCTTCTATACAGCAGCAGGCAGAGGTTGAATAACCCTATAGACTATCCTATAGGTACTCCAGTAGGGTCCTATAAGGTTACTTAACCTCTGTTAGCAGCTCATTTTCCCTGTAAAAGCTCCGGTGTTGTTCTCGCTTCTGAGTCCAAGAATCTGATCCGAAGGTTAAAAAAGGCCAAGATGTATACGACCAAACAGGATCCAGTGACCGTTCCGCAGCATTTTTGGGGGTTCCGTTCCATATATTCCCGGAACCGAAGGATACCGAAGGAGCGTTTTCTGTCTTTAACACTCCTTCGCAAGCTAAACCTGGCATCCAGTGAACTAAGTCTAATTATGTTGACCAACTTATGAAGTCCCACAAAAGGGTCACCGTCATTTTTTCAAACTCCCGCCACTCACCCCACCCGCGTTCCGGCACTCCACCGAAGACCGACGTCCGCACCCTGCGCTTCTGCCGCTGCAGTGCACGGCGCTTGGCCTGTCCGAAGAAAGGAACACTAACTGAAGTCTGAGTGACGGTTGACTGCATGAAATGCTGTGACATACCCAAACACTCCATGGGACTGCCATATATGCCTACATTGACCCCCAAAACCACCCCAATGTAGGCATATATCGCGTCCATGCAGTGTCTGGGATATGAATTCATGGTGAAAAGCTCGTCACAGTGTTGTTCTTCAGCCTTATTCGAAGCACCTTGGGAACACCCATAAGAGTGCAGTGCTGGTGCTGGCGCCAAGTTTGCGAGAAGTTCCTCGACCAAGGAAAAGACTAGACTACACAGAACACAGTCATAGCTAGCAATGTTTTAACCACTTGTTGTTCTACAGGATGACTACATTGAAATAGAACATTCGAACATTCTATATCTTCAAGTGGTCTACAGCACTACAATTATTGAAGATTTGTCACCCCTGCTACGTCTTCCGCCATTCCATGAATTGGCATAATGACCCACTGCCGAAACTAGCCTCTCCTCGCTGGAACTGAACGTCTTGAGAGGGACATGCTTCAGGCAAAGAAAAGATAACAGTGACAAGACATTGATGTACTATACTTATCCAACATAGTGGTCCCCGAATAGATTGAAGATTATAGAAATGACATGAAATGACTACATGATATTGTTTCCAGTACATTTTTGAGTGGGGATCTGCTTTTCTATCTATTTGGGGGTCTAATATAACATTCTGGAACATAATAGAAGAAAGCAACATGAAACCAGGGGTGATCACCCGTGATTACCCCAAAAACCAGACCTTGGCCGACAGCTGTGATGGAGAAAACCCCGAGTTCGCTGCGACTGTCCCCTGTGAACACCGACCATCAACGAGGGGGGACATGAAGGTCGTGTGAACCGCACCAATGGCCGCGCAAATGAAAGGGCAAGTCAGCTGACTTGGTGGTTGTTTTGGAGGCTTCAGACATTGCGAAGTGGCTGATCCCAAAGAAATGGTTGAAGCTATGCAAGAGCTCCGCTAAGCCTCACCTCTAGTGTGAAAAACCACGAGGATTGGCACGGCCCACCAATTGGAACTCCTATAGACCAGTGGGACTGGCCCAGCAGTCTGAAAAGGCCCAGCCTCTGGATGCCTCTGGGCCGTGTGTTCACCACCCATGTGTGTCTTTGACACGAGGAGAGGGGCCGTCTGCTCCCGGTCCCAATGGATAGACTGCTGGATGCTCCGAACCTTTTGGGGGGTCCTTTCGTGCCGGGGGTGGAGTCTCCCTATAAGTACTTTATACGAACCTGGTCGTGACGGACCACCAACCACCAACCAATAGGGTCTTTGATGGTCTTTTCCTCTCAAAACAGAGGTCATGTCTGGGTTCTAGGCACCTGAAGTCACCGATTCTTTCAGAGATCCCACCCGCACATCGACAGGCGGCGGTCGGGCGCCAGACTCGACGCCATGACTGGCCTCTTCCTCTGCCAGCTGTTGCCGCCTCTGAAGATCTTTAAGAACTTGCCTCACGGGTGGGACGTCTCCACAAAGAAAGGTCTCCACCTCCAAAACACATGCCCATGGCAGGTACGGTGCTGGTGCGTATGGTGCAGAGCTCGACCCTCGAAGTGGAAGTGAAATAGAGCAAAGCCTATTGGGCCAGGGGGGTCTATACTCCACCTACATCCATGGGAACGCCGTACCTCGAATAACCTCCGCCGAAACCAACAGGACCTTTTCAGCAGTGCCCGTTGGGGTGCATAGCTTTAGGAGTTGATCCAATCATTCCGTGTATATCTAAAAATGGGGAGACCTCTCCAAGACCCCGAGGAAAGAAGCACAATTGACCCAAACCTCATTGTTTGTTGTGTCTTCCTATTAAAAATACACACCCATGGTGCGGGAATTCCCGGTATTTCTGGCTCATACTTTGCCCAAGTGGTTTCCATGCGATTGTGCAGCTGGGTGGCCAGCGTCACCAGCTTGCGCATTTTTCGCATGCCCAATTTCTCACAGCAAGCGCGTATATGTTTCACACAGCGAATGACCCCCATTCTGACCTGCGGTACTCTTCAAAGCTCTTCACGGACGTCAACCTGAGAGCGTCGGTCGTCGTCGATCAAAGGCGTTTCTCGATCGCAGCGTCCCCAACAAGCATGTCAATGAACCACGGAAAATGGATTCCCTCCAAACCATGAACCATCCGCGCAGGAGCATGCATCTAAGATCGATTTCTTCGATTCCCCAAATGAAATGGGGATCCAGCTGCGGACGCTTGACCCAGCTGCGGACACCTGACCCTCCCGGGGCCCGGCGCAGGCTGCGCGTGGCGCGCCGTGCCGCTCGGGTTCCCCAGCGCTTGACCCGCCCGGCAGAGCCACAGATCGCATCCGGACGCCTCGAGGGCGAGAAACGATGAGAAACGTCGATCGATCGAACTCACCGGTGGCACGAACGCGATTCGTTGCTAGCTTAAGGCGCCATCGTGTGGCGCCAGTCATCTTTTTAGACCATGAAAATACGGTGAAATGGTGAACTGGTCCCTTAGGCTTGTTCCCTGTTTTGCGAGGGACCGTCCGTTCTTCTGACGGGGAGGATTCACGGTTCTCGCACGGCGAAAGGGCGATGCGGCGACGTGTTCGATGCGTCGAAACATTGACCGGTCTGTTGAGGAGACTGGTGCCAGACTGCATGGCGCCAGTCTGCTGGACTGTCTGACTGGCTTGCAGCAATATTCCGTTTCGGGCATCTGACAACAAGTCAAAGGTTATTCCTATTTGTTCTTCTCGCAGAAGTGTTGCCATCTCCATGTGGTTGTGGAATTCTGCCTAATGCACTGCTGCGCCATCTCCAGTCGTGGTGTTCCTTACAGCACCCACATCCAGTCGTGGCCACGCTCAGCTGCCAGATGCAAAGCAGTTTCACCTGCCAGTGTCACTGCCTTACTCCAGGATCAATCGCACCGCCTCCGCGGCCGTTCTCAGCGGCAGTTTCAGGGTAGATCGCCATCTTCATCAAACATCTTGGGGTCTTCTGGAGACAGTACGTCGCGCTGCAGCATGCTTCAACATGCTGCAACTGAATGATCAGCTGCTCGAAGCGCACTGTAGCCTACAGCCTGCAGCCTGGTTTCATGATGTTCATCCAGAATCACCAGTCGTAGGTCCACTGGTACGGTCACGTCACAGAGTGTCGCAAAGCTCGAAAGCAAAGCTCTTCCCCGAAGAGTAGAGCCAACCAGGCGAAACCTGGATCCATGCCAGTTCGGGATGCTAAAAACTGTTTCAGTCGCTTTCAATCATTGGACGCCACTCCTCCGCATCAAGTTCAACCACGGTGCTGCCAGACAGGGCCTAGATTCTGCAAGGAAATGTCGGCCATATGCCGTCGCAACCCAACCACCACATGAACGAAGCTGTGCACTGTCCATACAAAAGTAACACTATGTTGAAACCCCTGAATACAGCTGAGGTTGTCAAAAAAAAACGTGGGGGACATGCAACATGGACGTGATGTCCGTATAAAAAGGAACTCTCTTGACATGGCATGCGTGTTTTATGATGTTTTATGCGTTCTCAAGTCAGTGGCAATCAACTCATATCCTTGGAGACCATGGACTCTGGACTGATCGCTGGATGCGGTATCAAAAGACGAGCGCAGTATCCTCAGTTGTCCAGCAAAGATTGTCTCCGAAGCTGGACTTTTGTGCATGTCTAGTACCTTCATTCCATCAAATTCCATCAAATTCCTTGTGGTGGTGGTGGTGGACACAAAAACAAATATCCGGCAAAACTTCAACACCGCCGAAGGCGTTGTCATGCGAAGTTCCCCGTCCACGACTGGTCGTCCCACCTGAATGAGCCGTGCATCGTGGGAAACCAGCACGAGGCCACCCTGATACCTCCGCGACCATCCAAAAAACGCGCGACACGACGCGCATGTCCGGCAAAGATGCCGGTCTGGCCGAGGGTTCAATTCATGTGAATGTTCCCGACTTTTTGAGATTTGATATGTGGGTTTTTACTTTTTTGGGGTGTCGGGACTTTCCAATGAAACCAATGGTGGTGATGTTAGTCCGCCGACAAAAGGCTATAGGTTTTTGTTTTTCATCATGTGACTCTTTCTGAGTTATACATGTACGGTCAATTCATTTCATGTGCCTCTCTTCACAAAGCTCTGCAGTTCAAAGGACTGTTTTTTCTGGACAGTCTGTGGACCGTCTTGTGGACCGTCTTGAGACGGTCCTGAGACCGCTTGCACAGGGGCAACCCTGGATTTTGTGGAATGTCCTCTGGACCTATGGACGTCCATGCCCATGTAGCCAAACACGACTAATGGGACTGCCATATATGCCGCCCCATTGACCCCGTCTTTTGACCACCCCTGTCTGTATGTCAATGTGCCATACATGGAGTGCCTGGGGTCTATAAATCCGCCGACCCCGGCCTAGCCAAAGCCTAGGCGGGGAGGCGCCCAAGACACCGCAGGGTGCAACATTGGCATTGGCATCTCTACCTCTGCTTTCATGTCCTGGCCGAGGCACCACCCCGTGGACGACTGTGTCGGAGGCGCGTGTCTAGGTGTTTCCCTGGACTGCCACCAATGCCGCGTGCTGATTTTAGCTACTAGTGAACTCATTAATTACTATATAAGCATCCAAGTCGATGATGTACGACTTCTGATCCCAACGGCCTAGCATGATGATGATGGGTTATCTTGCTAAAGCTGAAGCTGGTAGTAACAAGTGCGGTGATGGTGGTGGTGCGGCAACTTGACAGTTCGCACCCAGCCAAGCGGCCCACGCGTCACTGATACTTGGAAGCGCTTCCGGAGCTCGCAGCAAGCGGCGCAGCACAGCGACAGCTGCCTTCTTGGGGAGCAAAGCGCAAGGGCTTAGCACAGCAACAGCTGCCTTCGGCAGCTACGCCATGTTACGCAGCTACGGATTCTGGTGTGCTTTCGTTGTCCACGTTGCGTGGGTGATTGCTAGGATGGCGATCACACGGTCAATGTCACCAATCCCTTTTTTTGCGCAGGTCGTGATCGTGGCATGTGAAATTGTTTTACATGGCCACAGAAGTCAAAGAAAGTGCCACGTCCCCCTTTGGAAGTGCGCTACAGAAAACCTATAAGTTATCGAAAGTCGACCTGGAACTGCCGGAAGGACTTTTGATCGGCCTTGGCTATGCAGCCACGAACCCTGACAGTCCCCTGGACTTCCACCTATAGCACAAAGCGCAGCTGAGCGATCGGGGGTTGCTGGACAACACCGCTGGAGCATCATGCTGCCAACCAGCGCACGGGTCGCAGGAGGTATATGAGCCCCTTATTGGTATTCAGCACCCACTTATAGCAGAAGATCTCCAACACCCAATCATGAGCAGCAGCCTGCAGCGGCGGCTTGTTGTTGTTGCTGGTTGTTGTTGCAATTGTTATTCTTACTGTGCGTTCTCCTGCTATCTGCGCGGCAACCCAGAAGCGGCTTGCGAATGTGGACAAGGGTGGAAGCGCCACGGAAACCTAGGCATAATCGACATTTTGTTGGTATAAGGCCCTCCAGACGACTTAAATTGCCTAACATATCTTCAACATAGGCCCAAGATAGCCAACATATGCCCAACATAGCCTGGCTCAACATACAGGGCCAACACAGGCCAACATGGGGTGAACATACGCCAACATAGGCCCAACATGGGCCCAACCTAGGCCAACATATCCCCAACATAGCCTCCAAGATGGCTCAACATAGGGCCAACATAGGCCAACATGGGGCAAACATACGCCAACATAGGCCCAACATAGGCTCAACATGGGCCCAAGATGTGCCCGACATAGACCACATGGGCCCAACTTGGCCCAACCTAGGGCCAAGATGCGCACCAGATAGCTTAACTTTGCTCAATATAGGTCCCCAAAAGGCCAACATAGGCGTGACATACACCCCACAGAGACCAGTATAAGCCAACCGCGGAGCAGTTTCCCACCTTGGCCCCACCCAGGGCCCAGCACCCGACCCAGCCCTACACAGACCCTAGTGGGCCGGCGCCCGGCTGTAGGCGTAAGCCTTTGGGCGCCGGCCACGGAGCCCGTGCAGTGCCCGGAGGGCCTTCGGTGGTAACCGAAGGTTTTGTACGGGCGCGCCCCCTGCCGCCGACCCTCGTCATGAAAACGGGCGGGCCGTGTCACTGATGCCCCTGTAATTTACAGTGTTTCGTGTGTGTGAGGTATAAAAAAGACTGTGTTTTACAGGGTTTCTTGCGCATACTGAAGTGTGACGCGGCGAAGAGGGAGAAATGCAAAAACGCTGTGTTTTTCAAGGGTGGTGTCGGTAATGCGCGCCGGGCGGACAGGCATAATCGACATTTTGTGGGTAGAGGCCCTCCAGACGCTTTAATTTGCCTAACATATCCTCAACATAGGCCGAAGATAGCCTCCAAGATGGCTCAACATAGGGCCAACATAGGCCAACATGGGGCCAACATACGCCAACATAGGCCCAACCTAGGCCAACATAGGCCAACATGGCCTAACACCACCACCCTGCGTAGGCTCAACCATGGCCGGCACCCGGCTGTTAGGCGTAAGCCTCTAAATCCGGGCGCCGGCGCCCGTGCCCTGCCCGGAGGGCCTTCGGTGGTAACCGAAGGTTATTTAAGGGCTTACGCCCGACAGCCGGCCAGGGGCGTTGAGGTAGGGGCTGGAGGGTGGAAGATTGGGCGCGGGTGCAGGCTGAGGGAGTGGATGTTGGGCGGGCTTGGGGCTATGTTGCGGACAGCTTGGGTCTAGCTTAGGCCATCTGGAGCCGTTGTTGCGCGGTCTTGGGGCTATGTTGAACATAGCTTGCGTCTAGCTTGGGCCATCTTGGGCCCATGTTGGCTCAGCTTGAGCCCATGTTGGCCTAGCTTGAGCCCATGTTAGCCCAGCATCCGCCCACGATGCAGACGAAGCACCCCGGTGCGGCAAGCATTTCCGGCATTATTTGACCTTATGTTGGGCTATGTTGACCCATCGTGAGCAACAAGCGAGGAAAAAACACGTCAAAAACGCTGAGTTTTCTGGGGGGCGGATTTGCTTTCTGCTTCGCAGAAGGGGAACTCCTCCGGAGGGACTCCGGAGGGACACGGCCCGGATATACGCCCTGCCGCCGACCCTCGTCATGAAAACGGGCGGATCACCGGGTCATTGATGCCCCTGTAATTTACAGTGTTTCGTGTGTGTGTGTGTGAGGTCTAAAAAACACTGTGTTTTACAGGGTTTCTTGCGCATATCGAAGTGCGACGCGGCGAAGAGGGAGAAATGCAAAAACGCTGTGTTTTTCTAAGGTTGTGTCGGTAATGCACGCTGGGTGGACAGGCATAATCGGCATTTTGTGGGTAGAGGCCCTCCAGACGACTTAAATTGCCTAACATATCCTCAACATAGGCCGAAGATAGCCAACATATCCCCAACATATGCCCAACATAGCCTCCAAGATGGCTCAACATAGGGCCAACATAGGCCAACATGAAGCAAACATACGCCAACATAGGCCCAACATAGGCTCAACATCACCTCAAGATGTGCCCGACATAGACCACATGGGCCCAACTTGGCCCAACTTAGGGCCCAGTACGCCCCCGATAGCTTAACGTGCACCCGACCCAGCCCTACACAGACCCTAGTGGGCCGGCGCCCGGCTGCTAGGCGTAAGCCTTTAAATATAAATATATATATATTATATATATATATCTATCTATCTATCTACATTTGTTGTAGATCCTGGCCTACCTCCGTATCGAAGATGGGCCAGGGGTGGGTGCCAGGAGGGTCAGACCACCGGTCACCTGAGTTCCAATCGATGGGCCGGGCCAGGAGACACCAAAGGGGAAACCCCAAAACGGGTGTGGACCACGGTTTGAACCTTCCCCAAACACGACCAATTAATGAGACTGGCAGAGGACTGCCGATCAATTGACCTTTCTGGCACCGCCCCTGGCCGTTTCTCGGCAGTCCTATGCCAGTCCCATTAGTCATGTCTGGGTTCCACATAGGACGGCGCCTCTTTAACGCGTCAATGAGCGCTTCAACACTCTCGATGTCCAAATGGTTGGTCCTCGCACGAAAGGTGGCTCGAGGAGATTGGAGACAAAGTCGTTTGCGCGCGGGCTTTTCAAGGGGTAGTTGGGTGATATTACTCCTGAAATGGTCTTGGAGGTGGAAAACAACCTCTTTGTAGAGGAAAGTGGTCTTCCAAGGGCCTGATTTTGTCACCTTCCACCATTATTTCAGGGAGTGGAATTTCTGTTTGGCTGATCCTCTAAGGATGCGTTGTAGCGGGGAGCTACTGGCATCAACGTCTCCGACGTCTTGAGCTGGGAGGTACTGGGTTTGCATGAAGGAAGGTTGCCATGCGCCACGCCAGTGTGGGAACATGGGGCTTTAAGGAACTCATCCATACGGGTCAAAGACCTCATTGTTCAACGGACTTGATCATGCAAGTTCACACTACGTACGATGAGGTTAGCCGTAACCCAGGTTTTGCTCACCAAAGTTGCGCTTACTGTCTTCATCCACTGAACTCACTTGCGGGTCTACATACCTGAGAAAATGGACGTTCACGATAGCATTCCATGAGTGGTTTCACCAGATTTGCAGTTTGACCTGGTGGGTGTTACAAGTTTGTGTTTCTTCTGAAGTTGGTGGGAACAGCTCAAAGGACTTTTTAAAGGTGGACGGTTCTTGAAAAACACGCAACTGACGACGCAACTTGCTGGAGTGTCAGTGTCGCAAGGTTCGATTTCAAAGAAAACATTGCAAACAAACCAATATGAAAACCATGGGTAAAACAGTAAAACATATATATTATATGTTCTGTCCATGATCACATGTAGTCTAACATCTTCCAATGTGTCTAATACATTTAACGATCCCAATGTGTTCATTCCACTCACCCCGATCAGAGCCGCAACGGATGGTGCCACTCATACTGAGATCTCTTGAGCTTCCCCACGGCTCGTCCAGAATCAAGATCTCAGGTTTCCTGCCGAAACCGCGACGTGTCTCTTCTTCCGAACCGAGTTCTCTCCCGACAGGTCCCTGAATTCTGAAACCAGAAACCAACCAACCACCAGGATGTTCAGGACATGTGTTCGCCGCATGCGAAGCAGCTGCAAGACCACCAGAAACTTGATATGTCATATTACATCGGGGATAGAAACGACCCTGTTTACTTTCCTCTGATGAAGGAATCGTGCACTTCAAGCGTGTTGAACTGTGCTTGTGCGGTGCAGAAGCTCCACCAAGTGAACTACCCCGATCCTCTTGTTTGATCACTTGGGGATTGCACATGTTGTGTCAAAATAGCGAAACCTCAACTTCAACCCCCACCTGCTAGCGGCCATGACTAATTGTAAAAATTTTCCAAAACCCTCGGTTGCGAGGTCTATTGAAACCTGTTTTGATGCACATGCACATTGGAAGGCCACTGATCGGGTTTGGACGATTTCGTTGCACCTTGGCTCCGATTTGTCCGCTCACCTGCAGGTGATGCTGGCAAAGCACACGCGAGCCTGAGGCATCAGGTGGCTGGACATAATTGGGTGGGGGCAATCAAACCAACCGTTTAACGTACTTGGGAAACATATAACTTGAAACACTGATACCATCGGGCCAGTCCTTGATTGTTTGCACAAGAAACCTTCACATGTTCAGAGGCTCTGCGCTCTTGTTGTTCTTGCCGGGAACACGGATATATATGGTTATTTTTATTATATATGGCTATATATTATGCCACCCAACTGCCACAAGCTCTTAAGAGACCAGAAGAATTTGTTGAGAGGTGATGATCGCGACGAAGTTATTCCGAGGACCAGCTGCGTCTCAACGATGCACCGTGAAAAGAGGCCATTAGGCTCTGATCTCCCCTGCGCAGCTCCAGCATTCAGCCGGCCACCCCAGTGCCTTCTGACCACCTGAAAGTTGCTGCATGGGGCGCTTGTGGGCGTTCGAGGGCCTGGGCTGGGATGCTAGTCACATGGCCGGTCCTTCAACATCAAGGGCCCCAAGATCAAGCGCAACATGGCTAGGACTCAAGAGTGACTCAAGAAGGCAAAAGCACGCTCCCAACTTTGCAATGCATGGCTTCCATGCACCTGCAACGAGACCCGAGCCTCACCTACGCAGTGAGATTTTCGACGCGCTGCGCAACTCAGCCGCCGACAGCCCGAATTGGCCCAGGCACTTGTGCGCGAGCCTCAGTGGCGGCAGGGTCAGGGCAGGAACAGCCCTTCATATGGGTGGTTGAACCTGGGGTAAGGCGCTTACTACGCTGCCACCAAGCTTTGAAGCCAGTCGAACTGCACCCAGCATTAAATAAAGTTACTCTCGTCACAGGATGCAGCAATATGCCAAGGGTGTTGCGCGCCAAGCAAGGGCACCAGTGTATTGGTTTGGAAGAACAGAAAACTATGGGACGGAAGTTGAGGCATCACATGTCACAAACGTCGGGTTTTCATGGTTTTCTAAATAAACACAAAATCATTCTTGCATGTTCCAACATGTATTTTTTGAAGGCATCCGCTTCCACCACAACACAGAACTTTGTAGGAAATCCCTGTATAAATACCGCATCCCTTTTTTGAGCCTATGTTAACCCGCAATTGTTTGAGTCCACGCCGCACTTTTTGCACACTGTCTCTGCCAATATGTGCTGTGCCCAAAGCCCAAAGCTTAAAGTGTTTCACATCCTGGCTAGCTATACTACCAGGGGCCTGCTTTACTTTACTCGAGATCTACTTCACCATCCACCAGCTTGCCAACGGTCTAGTTTAGCAAAGACCTACTTCACAGGGATCTGCTTCAGATAAAACGCCGTAGAAACGCTGCGTTAACCAAACATCTACTTTACCAGAGACCTACTTAGTGTTCCAAAGGCCTAGCTTACCATCTAGTTTGCCACGCTGACCATAGATCTAGCTTACCATCTAATTTTTTACCAGTGATCCAGCTTACCCACGGAGGTCTAGTTCACCAGGGGTCTAGCTTGCCAACAGGGGCCTGGTTTACTATTAGTTCGCAAGGACCTACTTCGGCAGAGCTTTACTTGACCAGAGATCTAGTTCACCACGTTATGGCCTACAATCTAGGTTTGAAGGGGTCTAGCAGCCGCCCACTGTACCAGAGATCTAGTTGTTCAGAGATCTAGTTTACAGTTTACCATCTGAACTAGTCTAGTATTGCTCCACTTCACTAGAGACCTCTGTATAGCATCTAGTTCACCAGATCCATATAGTTCACCAGAGAAGACCACAAGTCAGTTTGCCAGAGATCAAGCCTGCTAGGGATCTGGCTTACCAGCGTCCTGTTTGCAAGGGCTCTACGTAGTTTACAATCAGGCTTACTACCTTACCTTCGAGATCTAGTAATTCACCGCAGATCACGATGATAAAGAGACCTAATTTTGCTAGAGCTCCAGTTTACCAGGGATCTAGTTTACCAGTCGTTTATAGTTTACGTGTGGCGGAGATCTACTTTAGCATCTGCTTTATCAAAACTCTTCACAATTTGGTTTGCCAGAGATCTACTTTACCATCTAGTTTAGTAGGGGTCTAGAATATCATCTAGTTTAGCAGCGACCTACACCAACGCCTTACCAGAGCTTTTGTGTTTCTGCTTTTGCATGGGGGGTCCTTGCAAGAAGCCAAGGCGGTCCAAAACATCTCAAACTCGAACACAAAACAACACGACACAACCATTCAGGGCTTCTGAGGTTTGGATGTCTTCTAGTTAATTTGCTGGATTGAATCTTTGGAATTGTTTTTGGTCTAATTTATTCTATTTGTATGTATTAAGTTGTTTGGGTGTGGACAGTCTTGGCTACACACAAAGCAAAACCTACACAAAAGCAGCAGCAGCAGCAGCAAAGCAACATATCAGCCAACATCAGCAAAAGGTGCACTCCCAAGGCGCTCCGTTCTGTAAGTTTCCTTTTTTGTGCGGGGGATGACCTGCATTTCCACCCACCCCGCCTGAAATTCTTAGATGCTCGGCTGAAGTTCAATGACTTTGATTCTTTTTGGAACACCTCGGGTTTCCAACCACAGCCAGGTTTTGGTCGGCAAGGGACGCAAGGGACCGTCGGATGGCACAGGATGGCACAGGCTATTGATCAATGACTCTCCGAACCCCGAATTGGCCATGTTGATGCTGCTTGAAGCATTGGCCATGGCGCCATAGCTCGGCGCCATAGCTGGATCCTTAAGGTGCTAAAGTTCGGATGGTGGAGACATGGGCCAGGGTCGCACTTTTTCTGTCCAGCTTGGCAAAGTACCTAAATCAAAGGAGTGGCCCAAACAAGTTGCTGGGTTTTGGCTTTCGGCAAGTGACATATAGTGACATTCTGTGCAAGTTTCGTTTCACTCTGGACCTCACTTGATGCTTTGAGAAAGCAATTACTTGTGATGCTTGGGTCGAATAAACAAACTTGGATAAACTTGGCCTTACCCTTTTCCTTTTCCGCACAAGACCACTTGTGGGACAATTTGCCTGCAACTGGTATAAACCAAGGAAAGAACAAAACCAATCTGGTCACCTGCTGTCATGCCTATTCAATCTCTTGTTTCCTGAATGTTCATGCTCAACCAAACATAAATCAGTTTGAGTGCTTGAGTGCTTCCATCCGTTTTCTAAGAGTACTATGGCTTTGCAAGACTGTCTTTCCGCCGAGCTTGCTGCTCAAGGCTTTCGGTGCCGGCACCGAAGCGCCGCAGCTCCTGCAAGCGGTACCCGGGTGCTCGGTGGGTTCGGTTCGACCCCACTAACCGAAACGGAGGTAGGCCAGGAGCCGTTAGGGCCGTTAGGGCCGTTAGGGCCGTTAGGGTACTGTCCCCCCCCCCCCGACAGGATTGGGCCATAGCTATTAGCTTTAGCTGAAAATCGCGTGAGCGCGCCAGCTAGCTGTGATGCGCCAGCGGTGGATGCACAGGGTGGAAAATGCCGCGCTGGCTCAGGGGCATGAAGAACAATTTGAGACAACCCACTGTATGGTGCCAGTCCAATGACAAGAGAAGAACCAACAAACGACGACACTGACAGCACACAATCAGAACACCAAACATCAAGAAAGAAAACACGGCAACCTTTCCGACAAAAGGCAAAAAACAATGATCGATGAGTGACAATATACAATGACCACACCAAATAACATAAGCACCATACACCCTGCCGCTTGAGCCAGTGGTCCTGCCAGTAGCACTGACACACATAGACATAATGACAACACCAAATGATCTTGTATATGTAAACATATGTAAACAATACACACACTGGCATGCTTCGCCTGTCTCTTTGGGGCAAAGATAGAGGGTGCATCAAATCCGAAAAAAGAACATTGGGCAGGTCCATGCAGGTCCTGAAGTTTGATGAGATTGATATTCGATGATATTCGCATCTATATATATATATATATTCATCTATTCATTTAAGTCCTCTTCTTCGTATAAGACTCAGCCCTTCGAGGATGCAAAGTGTTCACCATGGGCCCAATCAAAGGCCCTTGGTGACATTTGGTGAGCAAATATTGAACCTTAAACCATAGGAACCTCCGGGAACCTCACTACCAAGTGCAGACTGCCGACATCCCCAAACATCTTGCCAAGACCACGGAGAGCCCTGCAGACTACGCCCCGCGCAAGCCCCACGGAGCGTGCGATCGGACCTGAGAGGTCAGGAACTCCACCGCGGACAAGCCGAGGGCCGGAGCCTCGATTTGCGCCGCCGCTGGGGGCCGTTAAGGCGGTTGTTTTGGGCGGCGGTTGTTTGGGCGAAGTCTGACTTGTGCATGATGTGCAATGCACAGTGCAATGGAAAAACAACTTGCCTTTGCATACTTCATACTATACTGCAATGCTGTGCAAAGGCTATACTATACCACCATACCATTCATAATATACCCAATTTTTTTCGCAAGACTTGCCTGTGCACTTCTTTCTTTCACCCAGTTTCACGAGAAAGACATCGACCGCCTCCTCAGACTGGTTCCGAATCCAAGGCTCCCAGCGATCTCGTCGAAGTGTTGGGAGTAGCGGCAGACGGTGAGATTCCGGGAATGCACCTGGTTGGGGTTTCTGAAACGCCGATGAGGCCAGGCCAGGGGCTTCCCCTCTGTTTAAAAGGAAATGACGATATATAGAAACCCAGAGGGCCTTTAGAGGTGACCTGGCTGAAATCTTGGCAGAATTTGATTCCTTTGAAAACGACACGACAGGCCCTTGAAAACTAACCAGTGCTGACACTTCAGAATCGCATGTCAGGAATCAATACCAAGCATTGAAAGCGTAAATCTGCAAGGATCAGTGGTACCGAGGCAGTTTCCGGTGTAGCAGGACTTTGTTCTTGTAAACATGACATGGATTCACATGGATCGAAGCCAATTGCAGGCACACATGCACGTCAACATGGAGCACCTCTGCCTCTGCCTACCCACAGCCGGGTTGGTCGCATCTCACCCTGCAACAAGGTGGACCGTGTTTTCCTATGATTTCCCAGGGTTCTATTCAACGAAACACTGCGGGAGCCGTCGGTCCGGGCTGCTACCAGGTTTCTGTGACCCCGGTTTGGAGCCAATCTGCCAAGGCACCACGTCTCCCACACAGGGCTCCTCCTTCTTGGCCAACAAGTTCAGCAAGGTGGACTTGCCTTGGACCGTGAAAAATAGACGATGCGGTGACGACGATGCGGTGACGACACCGTGGGATGTTGGGTGCTGGAGAATGGATATGATCGGTTCCGGGACAACACGCGGTGGTTTATTGTTGGCAAGTTGAGCCCCCCAAAGAGTGAGCAATGGTACGACCTGAAGCCGAACTGCCAGCACAACTGACATCAGCCAGCGACTTCGATGGCTTGCGTGGCTTGACACTGATGCGAAGCCTTCGTCCACTGGCACGGAAAAGTGCTCGAAATGTGCGCAAACTGCCAGCCCTGCGAGG